AAAACGTTTTTCACCTCTAATGAAATTACTACTTCATAGTTCGCATAATAATATTCTATATATATAGGCTTCGCAAAATATCTAACTTTTGGATTTTGTCTGTGGTAGTTACATGCAATCGACGTTATGGAAACATCAGCTCCAAGTGTCTTCTGTTACAGCACAGAAAAGAACATACTTTTCCAGACTGAGGATCGACGTTCAAAATCCTTAAGGTATGTATTCATATATCTATCGTGTTTATGGCACTATCCAAAGAACTACGCACAGGACATTTACAGTGGTTCAAAAACATGAAAACATTACTAGTGCCTTCGTTCTCCAAATAGAACTGATTCTGTCAGCGATCGTATTTTAGATGGCAATCCATAAGACGTAAAATTAAAGGTGTGCGAATAAGGTAACCTACAAAAAGTAATAAAATAGTGATGTAAGCATATTATTGAAGACGACCTTAAGTCTGATGAAGTTAGTAACAAAAAAGCAATAACAGGAGGCTGCCATCTTAAAATGAAAATTTTATTTTGTTCTGTCACGCAATTAAAGAAACTATCCTTTTTTAGATGATAATACCTGGCTTCATCGAACCAAAGAAATAGAGAATTTCTTGAAGATTGAGGATATCCCTCTAATGTAGTGTCCTACATGTTTCCTTCACTGATGGACGCACAATGGGAGCAAAGGAAGAAGATTTAATTCATGATCTGAACAAATGATGCAATAGTATGTCCTAAAGCTTCCTAAACCACTTATTAATAATTCCGTTATGGCATTATGATTGCTGCTTCACTGTTGGATATGGAAATACGAGGGTTGGAACTTTAATGGTGGTAACTATCTATTTACAAGGAATACAAAAGTGATTCATGTCACCATGTTTTACAGTTCTTCAATATAGTCGCCAGCATTGTGTACAACCCGTTTCCAAAGATGTGGAAGTCGCAGAATACCTGTAGCAGCTCCTGTTTTGTTGATAGTTTGAATGGACCGGTTTACTGCCGCAAGAATCTCAGGAACAGTTTGGAAGCGAGTGCCACGAAGTGGTTCCTTCATCTTAGGAATTAAGTTATAGTCCCAAGGGCTTAGATCTGGGGAGTATGGTGGATGGTAAAGCACTTCCCAGCCCCATCGCTTGAACAAATCAGTGACAGCTTGCGCTGCATGCGGCCAAGCATTGTCATGCAAAATGAGAGGAGCGCTCTGCAGAAATTGTCGCCGTTTTTTTCTCAAAGCTGGTCGGAGATTGTTCTCCAAAAATGAGCAGTAATACTGCGCAGTGACGGTCTGCTGTGGGGGAACGGTATGCGTTAGGATGACACCATCACAGTCGTACACGAGAATCACCATAACTTTCACATTGCTGGGGTTCTGACGAAATTTCGAACTTCGTGGTGACCTGTGATGACGCCATTCGTTTGATTGGCGTTTCAGTTCTGGCTGGTACAATCGGGCCCAAGTCTCATCCAGCGTAATGATACGGCGTAAAAAAGCATCTCCTTCGCGCTCATAGCGCTCCAGGTGGGTTCGGGCAGCATCGTATCGTAGCCATTTCTGCATTTTCGTCAATTGATGTGGAACCCATCGTGAAGCAATTTTTCTCATGGACAGGCGTTCCTTCAGAATGTGCAGCACAGTCGTATGCGCTAATCCTTTTTGTCCGACCAGCTGACGAATCGTTTGGCGGCAATCACTGTCCATTAGTGCGGAAACAGCTTGCACGTCTGCATCGCTGACACTCGGACGACCTGGCCGCAGCATGTCTGCCACGTTTTGGCGTCCTTCATTGAATGCTTTCACCCATCTTGCTACGGTTCTGTAAGGCAATGCAAAATTCTCCGCAAGCCTCTTGAAGCCCTTGATGACACTGTCGTGCTGTACGACCTCTGGCACATTCACTTTTTTATCCAGCATCGTTGTTCTTGTTTTGAAAACATCCTGACAACTCTTACTTTAGACCGCGAGCTAATACAATGATTCGTTCTTCGCGTCACTCCGCATGCGCGTGACGTAGGCAGGACGAGTCTTTTTACTGAGAGGTAAGGTAGGTATGTAATTTACGTGTGGTATACTCGATATTTTTTGGTTTTGTTGCGTAACGTTGTTTCAGCTGTGTTGCCACTATTAAAGTTCCAACCCTCGTATTTCGACATGGGATGTCATATTGCCTGGACATGGGTAAGTATAACTTTTATCGCTCAATGACCTAAGCCCAACACTAGCGTATAGTGTTTATGCAAAAAACATCATATTGTAAATATATCTGGGAATAACAAATCACACAAAATGAATTTGTAACTTAAGAAGAAAAGCTCTTAAGACATTACAAGTTTAACTCTATTTTAAAGACATAGTTATGATAAGTAAATTTAGTTTAATTAATTGAACTGTTTAAAAATAGGCCACCGACTATGATGTGACATACTGAAAGAAGAAGAAAAAGTAAACAGACTTATCAATAAATATAATACTGCTTCCAGATGAAATTATAAATACATAGCATGGAAAAAGTTAAATGGGTAAGAAAGCCATTCCGTGAGCATAAATACAAAAATTACCAGGAAATAATTTCAAGTAAAATAACAGAGAGAGAATTTTATGGCTCACATTATTTTTTCTTGAGGTGTAAGAAATGATAATTACCTAATTTAAGGTACTGATATAATTTCATATGATAAATAAAGTTTTTATTAATTAATAAAGTTTTTAATGGAATATTTAAAATAACATAACCATAAATTTTTTATAAACAGTTTTTAGAGACATTAGGTATATTTTTGGAAGCACGAAAGATGAAACATTAGCAACGACCTCGCCGGGAATCGAACCACGGACCTCTCAATTACGCGCTGAGGGTTCAGACCACCACACCAGGAAGGCATGCCAAGAAGGCGAAAGAAATATATACTCCCCCCGTTTTATAGGGCGACTGGGGCTTTTAGGGGACCCAGTCGCCAAATTCTGAGTGAGGATAATCATCATCCTCTTAGTTCGGGTGCCACTATAAAGATATTAGTTATTCTTTTGGGAGCAGACAAAATGAAAAATATGCAACGCTTTCGCAGGGAATCGAACCACGGACCTCTTAATTACGCGCTGAGCATGCAGACCACCATACCACGAAGATATGCCAAGGCGGGAGAAATACCTTATAAGTTATTAAAAATTTTAATATCCTGAAAAGTTATGATTAAACATTAGGACATAGGCTTATTAAATGAAACAAGCAATACGACGAGTTGTTCGTTTCTGTGATACTCTCGGTCCTTTAATTATATGTAGCGTTAACTATAACCCACAGTTAATTCTTTACTTCGAGACATAGAACACAGTTGTTCATGCTACGTATTATAAAATTGATGTTTCATATCGCAGATATTTTTCTTCCAGATTCTCAAAGACATCGGGCTCAAAGGGATTCAGGGAACATTTTGAGTAGCAAAGATGAACGTGTATGTATATGTGTATTTATTTATTAATAATTAAAAAGTAAACTGCAAATGAAAGTTCCATGAGTATGTCTATTATTAGACGAGACATTTATGTCCAAAATATAGGATACACTGAGGTGAATTAGCATCTGGACCATAAAACCCACTATTCGAACTATTTATAAATTGAGCTATATAATTTGCTCCCTTATGCCTGTTCTTTATTGACAATGCTAAGATGATATATTTGCTCACATACCTATTGGATGTTAAAATTCTTAATCGAATAGTTGATAAAGGCTCATGAATTAAGAAAAGAGATAAGCCTTTTTAGGAGACTTTATTTTAATTTAGTCCATACGGATAGAGCAGCTGGTACACTTGGAATTAGTCAGTGACTCTAACTTCGTTAACCATTCCGGAGACGACGCCTGCTTGGAGCTGTTTTTATAAGAAAGGGCAACGAAAGTACAGTGTAAATGGTGAAGACAGCTTAAAATACGACTAAAAGCATTCCGTTTTCATTGTTCCAACTGTTATGCTGAAGGAAGCAGTGCATGTTGTGTTCTTTTCATTAAAAATAGAGCTCTCCTTTTTGAGGTTCACGAAATACAATAGTGTTAAAAACCTACTGATGCGTTCATTTGAACATAGATAAATAGGTACATGGCAATAAACTATTACACATATATAAATTGCAATACTGTAAATGCAAAGAATATTACAGAATTATTATAGAATCAAAAATTTCAAAAAAAAATTAAAACATATGATAACATGGATTTGAATTTGCGTACTACGACCAGTTACACTAAGAGAAGGGGACGAACAGCCTTTGTGAGGTAATTATTCAATCAGATTCCTGAGAGATATATGAATTGAACAATTAAAAACTATACAAAAGTTATTCTATTAGCCATTAGACAGACTATGGTATAAACAATTTCATTCTTAATTTTAATATACTATACATATGCATGTGCCTATATATATTAGCAACAGTTAGGAAGTATGTTATATAAAAATAATAACTTCAGTCTAATGGGTTAAAACATGCTTCGGAAAACTAGGAATAAACTTGTAAATAATATATTTCAGGAAAATTTAATATAATTCCTAGTAAAAATATTTTGTAAAAAAATTTAAATAGAAATACGTGTTTTAATTTAAATATTAACTTCGAAATTACTTTATATGGCTGCAAAATATCTTAACTCTTTTTTTAAACTATTCCAATAATTTAAAAAGAAGTGCACAGAGCTGTATAGTAGGTTTGTTCAGGGAAATAACAATTTTTAACACAATCCCAAATAAGTGAATTATACAAAATTTTTTTCTTTGAAGACACATACCATATTTCTATTCATAACTACGATATAATAGTTGTCATTTACTCATATTTTTATAGACAGATGGTGCTGTAAAATAATATGTTCTTGCTCTTTCCTAGTTTTATTTAAAATGCATACCTTAACTTAACAAGGACTACATGACACTATTTTTTTTAAATGTCATTAGAACAGATGGTAGGAATCCATTGGAGACTTATAAAATGCACATTTTAAACTATTATTCTTCACAGATCACTGAGGTTTTTGAAAGATGACTTCAGTAACGTTTGCGTTTCTCCTGGCAGCAGTAATTGCTGTCAGCGGTAAAGTTCTTGGCCCAGGAACCAATAGCAGAAGAATTTCCTTTAGCAGAAGATCGGAAATTAGAGCAAGAGAAGATCTACCAGAAGGTAAATATATTTTAAACATTTAACTTCTTCATTTTATATTATACTGCTTCTGTCTTACTTCATTACTGTAGTTTGAAAATAAATGCCTACAAGGGAAAAAAATCCGATGTGTACACTACATGACTTCCTTCTACGGAATAATAAATTATACGCATTTCTCCTTGCATTTCATTTAAACTTATTGGATTGAATTAAATTTATTTCGTCAATAGCGTATAAACCACAATAGAATAAACGCACTCTAAAACTCACTATATTTATTTACTATAGCGACACTCCGGACATAGGTTCATTTAACAGCATTACATTTCATTCATTTTTTAACTCAGAATTCACAAAATTTGTATAATATTAAGAATTATCTAATCGTTGCCATATGTTTTATCTAAATACTATAATAAACCTAAAATGATGTATAAAAGAAATAAAGTAAACAACAACAGCCCCCCCAAAAAAAGAAATAGTTTTTCACAGACGATTCAGTATTTCTCATTCAATTAATTAAGTTTTCACTTCGCAACAAGGCGAAAATACATAACAGCTCAAAATATCTGTATTGAAAATTATAAAGTAAATCTTAAACACTTATTTCCTCGAATAAATTCCAGAATGGATTAAGCATGATTTAATTCGCAATAATAAAAGAATGTGTTATCCTTGCTATTGCAAAGCTTACTTTGTCTAGATTAGCAACAAATCTACTATTCTCCTGCTTCAAATGTAAACAAACGTTGCCGCCATTGCAAAAATAATTAGGCTTAGCGGCACTTAAATAACTTTTAAACTGTTAAATAATTCTAAAAATATTGCATGCATATTTACTAAAGATATAAAAACCTTCGCCGGAAGATAAGAATAATATTTATCTAAATTAATTTAAAAAGTTCTGTTCTTTGTTCCTAAGACACTATTCCTATTGGAAAAACGGTTAATTTCAGTAAGTTTTAAAAATGCGCATATTAACAAGACCTCGCAGTCTTATTAAAATATTAACTTAAAACAGTAAATTATTTATCGGTTATAGCCGAAACAATCAGCCATTTATTCGTGTTATCAACAAGAACTTTGACCAAGTGTGCACTACAGAGGGAGGAAAACATTGCATCTATTAAACCAGTGTGAAACAGCCAAGACTTGTATGCCAATCGAACTGACAGGCTAGAATTTGAATCAGCTGTCAGCCTTTGTTAATCACTAGATTGTCCAAGATTGTGACATGAGGGAAATTACGTTTGTAAGCTAGTAAGTAGTGATGCTGTTATTCCTCATTGAATAGTACCGCTAGTTTCGCGTGCTAACTCTTCTGTTTATTTGTGAATCTTTTATTTCGCTTTTGAGCAATATTGGAGATGTAACCAATTCCTAACACATTCTAAATTTTGTGTTTTTTTATAGCATCTTTTTTCTCATCTTCCATATAACGCAAAGGGCTACTATCTTGTTATATGAACAAAGACAACGAGAAAACCGCTTTTCGAATTATAATTGCAAAAATAGAAGGCGTAATTTGTGTAAATAAAATATCATTATTTCAATACTTTATTAAATTAGCTTTGTTTGTTAATACTGGTTAATTATTAGTTTGAAAGTGTTTACTATTTTATTTTGGGATCTTTCAGTTTTTTCTTTAAGTTTTATCAATTAGATTTATTTATTCATCTAGATATTTTATGTTGTGAGAGAAAATGTTTTCGACATCTAAAGTGGAATATCCTTCGAATAATGTATGAGATTCTGAAAGAGAGAACGATCTTGAACCTCAAAATGCAATAATGCTTAATTAAAAGCATTTCCAAGGAAATCAAAAATAAAGTTCTGCACATTTTAACCCAGGTTTATATAGGGTTAGTGCAAGTGAAATGTCAGCTTACATACTGCAAACTCCACAAGAATTGGTTCACTGATATCATGACGTATGACGTCACGTACGTCACAACGAACTCACGTGACGTCACGCATGAAGAAATGCCATTCACGACACAACATCACTACAAGAACATCACACGCAGATCTATATGTAACACTAAAGCTATTAATAGGTTAAAAGGCCATCGAAGAAGATCCTGTAAGTGTTACTCATAGAGAATATACAATTACGGTTGCTTTTATTCTAAGAATTGAAACTGAGATATTATGTAAGATTTGGGGCAAAACAAAATTAGCATGCGCACAAATTCTTAGAAGGTAGGAATTTGAAGAAGAAATCCTTTCTATTTGTCAGATTTTCATGACTCATCTCCCACTAATTAATACCTGACTATTGCTTCGCATCATAGACTTCTTTTGCCAAGAAATCTAGTTGCTGACAAAACGGTAACAAATGTGCATGAAAACAAGGAAGATCGCTTTGACTAAGCAAGTGCTAGAGATTGCTTTTACTTAGTGAAGACGAAATATACTTGCGCTATACCCCTGTAGTATATGGAAAAAGAGCATACACTAAAACATACACGTTACTTTTAAACTGCATTAATTCCATACAGTAAGTTTTAACTGTGATCATATATTGCTAAATTATTAAATTTAGCTTCTTTTCCTAAAATATCCATTAATTTATTAAATTCTAACGAAATAAGAAGTTAAGTCATTAAAATATTTTCAAATTCGAATTCAACTAGATTTTTTATTCTTTATATCATTATAAATGATTTTAAAAAAGTTGAAGAAATAAGTATTGTTTCATTATTTCTAACTTCTGCAGTCCTTACCTATTAGTTAAACATTTAATATCTAAGACTATTTCCTTTTACGTGTTCGTAAATAAAAATGTTATTATTCTCAATTCAGTTATGATACCTTTCAATTTGAATACATTAGTTCCTCTTTGAATGCATTAGTTCCTAACTCGTGATTGTAGAACCGATTATAGAAGAATTAAAATTGTTTAAACTGGACATAAAGTCTTCCATATGCCATCAGCATTCTATCTAGTAAAATAGGAATTTGTGTCGAAATACATTTTCCATGCAGCTTTCAAACATATGCTCAAGGATTTCAAAAATGAACTCTATGATCTGTTGCTTTTCATACAATAATATCTCAGATTGTTTATGTGCCTTGTTTAGCAGAAAATTGCTTAAAAAATAAATTTTTTACTTTAACTTACTTATGCTTAATTCATTTACAGTTTTTAGTGTGCAGGAATGATGATTAAAGAAATTACTAAATAATTTATTTTGATAACCCTGAATATGCATTCTCTTTGGTGGCAACAAAAGAGAGGTGAGAGAGAGACTTTGGTGTATTTCCTCTTGGAGATTCTTCTTCAAAAGCTGAGAAGAGCTGAGGAAAGTTGCAATACCTCCTAAAAAACCACTAAAGACCCATGCCAACGACAGACGCAATTATGCACTCCTCCTTATGATAAAATTTGTTAACCTGTTCTGAAGGTATTGTCAGACAAGTGAGAAATGCACAACAACACACTACATCGTTTCAAAATGGATCCTCGTCATATTGCTCCTGTATAAAGTTAATAACACAGGTGCTTACATAATATTTCAGTCAATAATAATAATAATTAGGAAATTAAATCTTTAGTAGCCAATCAAAACTAAAGTTAATTCAAAACTAAATCATTCTTAACCTAAAATTCGAAGTACAATCTTGCGTTTCGTTTCAGATTTGATGTCTTGGTGTCGTTAACACTCTTTCTTTAAATATTTACAGAAAATATAAGACGTACATTTGGAGCTCTTAAAGAACGAGTACATATTTTCTGCCGGCTTACATGAGCGATATCAAGAATTATTTCTGAAGAAGTAAGAAGTGCGAACCGACCTCAATTGTATCTACTTCTTCATGAATTGGCTTTCATCATTAGCAACTATGGTGTTACAAAATGTGTTATCATTCACCTTATTTCATATATATATATATATATATATATAATTGGCGACTTCAAAATTAACATTCTAAATTTTGCGCTCTGTTTCCCCCTTAAAACTAATATTGACCAATCATAGCTTAGAATACTCTCTTCCCCTACTAAGTATAAATACTGAGTCACGAGCACTAACGCTTCCCCTATTTTCCTAATTTCTGCCATCAAATAACTCTGCGCCGCTTATGCCTTCCTGCCTGAAATGTAGCTTTTTATCTGTGTATATAAAAATGATTTGTGTTCAACTGTGATCAAAAAGTAATTTGTCTACCAAAGAAATAATTTTTTATGTACATCAAAATAAAGATGGTGATTCGCCGAAATTGGTTTTGTCAACGATTCGATTTGTTAACGAAAGTGGTTTATCAACGATTTTGATTCCTGCCTTATCCACCCAGCCAAGTCTACAGCCAGAAGTTAAAAGTTCCAAATTTATGACTGCGCACTTAGTATATTAGATACATAAAGTAAGAAATGTAAAATCATTTTTTGCAAAGACCAAAAATTTAAATCCATAAGTAATAAATTTCATAAAATCCTATAAATGTAAAAAATAATTTAATAAATGTTAAATTTAAAATACTTCAAACAAGTAATAACCTACTTAAAAAAATCAACGAAATTTCAAGAATAAAGAACAGAAAATAAGAGGAATTCAATCAACTTCAATGCCATTTCGTAGCAAGAACATAAATAAATTGAGATCTTTCTTTCATAAAAAGTTCTTCTTGCTTTATTGTATCCACAATTAGCCAATGAACCCAATCCAATGTACTTTATTTAAAATAGTTCACCGAAACTTCTCGTCACTTCCCTAATTTTTGTTTAAAGGTAATCAAAAATTACTTTTAAACAAAGACAAGTCTATCCAAAGAATTGAAACGGAAGTGAAATTATAAAATACTTTAGTGAAAAATTCAAATCAAACGTTTTGACTAAAGTATTTTATTATTTCACTATCGTTTTCAATTCGTTTTCGATTCCTTCAATATTTCGGATATTATACAAATGTTTAACTGCAGTAGCTGTCATTTTAAATCTAATGTTCAACCTAAGATGAGGACACAAAACTTCTTCCTAGAATCAATTAACATATTCAAAAGAAAAGAAAATTGATCTGGCAGTCGATTAACATTCACTTTAAGGGTAATGTAGATCATGAAAAAAATCTGATAGCCATTTTTCATAGAGGCTGAAAACACTTGTTTGAACATTTACACCATTTAGCTATTCGATGGGAAATCTGAAATTTTTCGGAGACATGTACTTGAAACCTAGGTTCGATCATTGAGACAGTGAAATTTTCACGAAGTTGAGATGTCAAAAATGACTTTTTCTTTTGAGTAGCCGAACCTTCTGTATGGGATATTATAAAGTTAAATCTTCTGACTTCGAAAACGTTTCCGAGTTACCGGAGAGGTAATGGACGGGAAAAGCTTAGCCAAAACTCTCGCCGGGCAATTGCTTCTCATCTAATTCTTGTTCCGTTTTCAGAAATTTCACAAGGTAAATTTCTCTGTTTTACTTGTTAAGGCTTCTTAGTGGCTCCAATAATTGATTGTACCTTTTTTCAATTTCCGAAGAATCTCAATTTCTGATATTCAAATCATTCATTCTATTTTTTGTTAGTTTCAAAATAGCAATAAAATTTAGCTTACGACACAGAGACAGAGCTTCATGAATTTTACTGAAATTCTCTTACTCGTACGAATCTTGCCCAAAGCAGATTTTTCGAGATAAATAACTTTGAGCAAAGTACCAAACTGCGTGCGTTTCCCAATTTCAGTCGAAATTCCCAACGCACGATTTTGTCAGAAAATTCACAATTCAGCTTATAAATAACCAGAAAAATTTACTTCAAATAATATAGATAATTTTTAGGGAATTCCTCATTAGCCATGTTCTTTAGCATTCAAAAGAAAAAAAAACGCTTTAGTGAACTTTTCGAAACATAATGAACCGACAAACCTATTATTTAGAGCGAAATATGACAAAATATATTCATCAATGTTTACTGATCATTTATCCTTATTTTCCACCATTATAGTTATCTGTTGTAAAAAGAAAAAGCGCTGAAAGAACTACAATAATCAGTATATTTATGGTTATAATTCTTTCTTTAAATGAAGTAGAAAATATTTTATACGTATCACTAACATTTTAATAAGCAATAGGCATGATGAAATAGATCTATTTGACTTATAAAAGTATAATCGAAACCTACTTTTTGGTCATATTCGATCAATATTTTAAGAATACTAATACGTTTTCTTTTATATTTAAAAAGTTTTTTTCCAAAGTGAACTACATCAGTATAATAAACATCATAAAATTGCAGTAGCTAGTAAGAGTTAAGTAATAAACAACCAGAAATTAGGACAATTTCAACGAAAATGACTGGTCACAAACCATTATCTCATTCGGAGAAAAATAAACATTATACATTGTGAATAATTATGTTCAAAATTCTGTGAATAACAAATTTAAAACTTCAATCAGTGAAAAATTCCCTTCTTCAGTGAAAATTGTACAGAATAAACTTGTTGAATGATTCAATGAAAAATTCGGAAGTAATTCACTAAAACATAACCTTCTTCAGTGAAAAATATAGAATATTCGTAGTCTTAAGTTGGCTCATGACGGTAGTGAATTCATTGCTGGGAAATAGCTAATGCAATGTGTGTTTATTTTACAGAATTACAAAGAGAGCTGGAAAGAGAGGATTTCTGTGAAGAAAAATTAGGATGTTTCAGTAACTCAGAGCCTTACAATCAGCCAATCAGCGAAAGACCTTCATTTGGCTTATACTTACCTGATTACGCAGCAGACATCGCAACTGAGTTCCGTCTCTTCTGCCCAGGACATACTGATGAGCCTGAGGTTATTATGTCGTCGACTTTTAATGACTGGAAAATAGCTGACAGCTGCTTCGATGCTTCTGCGAAAACAGTGTTCATTATTCATGGATTCAATGGTGGAAATGCAGAATGGCCTCTGGTTAGTATGAAACTGATATAAAAATGTGCTAAATTTTCAGTTTAAAAAACTCTACCATCAAAACTAAACTAATCTAGGAAGTTTTCCTCAGAGTAGGCTGAAGGAATCATGGAGTTAAGCTTCTGGGAATTTGCACTTAAGTAACTGGAATATATAATCACTTCAAAAATTCGAGAAACATGAAATACTAATTTTATTTAAATTCAAATTTTCAAAAAATAAAACCAAATAGATTTTAGTTTTCTGAAACATCTTCATCAGGGTATTGTTACTCCAATGGTAAAAGAAAACTACCTTATTTTTAATTTAATTCAGAAGATTAATTAACTAATTTAGAACACATTTTTAATTAAGAAAAAACAAATCAAATTGCAGATAACTAGTTCAACCTCGACAAACTGAAATTGGAATAAAATAGAATACAAAGGAAGGAAATTTGAAAGGATTCAGATTTTAACAGGAAGTTTAAAACTATTTATCAGTAGAGTTTAGCAAATGAGACCCCTCAAGCGGAACAGCGGAACGTTTTATAGAAAACTAGAAAAATTACACTTACACTGGACATGGAAACATGAAGCATTACTTTTATTTTGGATGTTTGGGAGTAAAAAAATGTATACTGCAATTCTATAAAATATTTAATATTTAATATTTTTAATTTGATATAGCATGAATTAAATGCATTTTATTTAAATCAATCTGATCAAAATAGAAAAATGAGTAATATCTTAGGTACGGCAACTATTGTTTTTTTAAATATCCTACTATGTTAATCATATTAAATTTAAAAGGGAAATTACTTATATTTTACTAAATGGCAACAGACTCAAATGAAAAGTGAAACAATGCAAAATCGCATTCATAAGTTCTCATCCATAAGCGTTTGGCTGATTTGGAAAACACTAGTTGTGCTTTCTATTCTTATTTAGTTTCAAAAAGAGACTTTTGTGACGTTGTCACGTTTCATTTGTTAGTTTAGATTTAAGTTAAGAATCTCTTAACGCCTACCAAACGTTTGGTCATTGTGAAAAGGCTGCAAAATACGCCAGACACTGAAAGCTCAATACAAAGTTATTTCAATACCTGAAAAAGACGGGTGTTTATCATGCAATTTGACTTTGTTTTAATTTAATGTGTTGTACTTTTGCCCCTTGTATTTTATTATATTTCATGATATGTGTTTTTATGCCTGTTTTTATATCTGATATTATTGTCTTAGTTTCATGTATTTGTTTCAGCTCTACCTGTCACCATTATATATATTTCCGTTCCATTTAATAATTTCATTTTGCTCAAAATTGCGAGTGGTAATTATTTATTTTTTATGTAACCTATGTTTTTCAAATCATAACCTTTCAGAATATGCGACAAAACCTCCATTACTACCACCAACATTCATTAAGCATTAAACTGATGATGCCGAAAGTTTTATCTTGCAAATTTCGCAAAATGTTCAAGAATGAATTTGGTAACTTTGGTCATTCTTTCTGCGCCTATTAGAGAAATATGTTAAGGTGACAGGAATTACAGGAATGCATTAAGGGGACAGGAGTTATTACAGGAATACATTATAAGCATGGAGAATACCCATTGATCACCATGGATAACCTGGTAACGTCCCTATATATTATTTAAGTAACAGCTGCAAAATTAAATATTGTTGTTTAAAGGAAAATCATTTTCATTCTGAATAACAAAGGATTAGTTAATAAATTTTTTAACCGGTCCATCAAAAACATTTAATAATTACATCTTAAGCTTATACATAAATTTCTGGAAATATTAGTTTTTACTGATCAAATGTGATGAATATTTTGTTTGAATGTTCGTGTTTCTGAATCAAACCTTTCACTTGGGAGCAATGCAGACTAAGACAATATAAAATCAAAGAAGCAAATCATTTACGGTACAGTAAGCAGCTTAGATTTATTATCTAAACTAGCGGAAGTATCCGATGCCAGTTAAGTGAGATTGAGAGTAATGCATCTAACAACAAAGAGAGCGATACCGCTGTAATCCTTCTCTAGGTGTAGCGATATAAGAAATACGACTCATAATCATACAGTTTTCAGTCTGATGCGGTATGGAACTCACATAAAAAATTTGATAGAAAAATGTTACGAGGTTACCCATGGTGATCGACTTCGAAAAATAAGCTAATTTTCTCTCATTATATCAGCAACAATGGCACGCAGTTTTTAATGATTTTCGTCTTTCTAACCAAATGGTCGTAAAAGCTAAAGTTCCATCCAATAATTCACCCAAATTGAATTTTATTCGATTAAATGTGGCAAAACATTTATCATTAACTGATCATAAATCAATAACGCGAACAAACAGACATTATTCTTTATATACATGGGTTTTGTAAAACTTAAACATTTTTAATTATCAAACTCTACAATTTGAAAGCGATCAGTAGCTACACTTTTTGGAATAAAACATTTTTTATCACCATCGCACGAGACTGTTGCCACTCAGAAAAATGAGTGCGGAAATTAGCGCTTTCAGAGTTTTTAATTAATATTTCGGCTGATTAAAGTCGTACGAAAAGAGGAATAGTCAAAATGGCTTCCCACGAATTTTTTAAATCGGGAATAATGTATTTAATGTTTGGAAATTCTATTTTTATTTCATCGTAAAACTTAGACATTTTTTATGAACGAACTCTAGGATTTGAAAATGAGCAGTGGCAACAACTTTCGAAAATAAAGCAGATTTTCATCTCCAGCTTGCGAACTGTTGCCACTCGGAAAAATGAGGGCCAAAATTATCATTTTTCTGAGTTTTTAATCAAGATCTGTGATTTAAGCTACTTTTTTTTTAAAAAAAAGTGGACGTCGAACTTTTACAGAGCCCAGAAAAGAATTGTAGAAAAATTGGTAATGATAGCTACACTGGTGTGCAAAAATTAAGGACGAAGTCGAAAAATTAGCATATCAGCTGAACGAAGAGGCAGAGCGGACAGAAAGACCAATCAGGAGATTAAGTAAGGTGATGTACGGTAGCACATGCGCAGATATGCAGGTAGACGTAAAGGGGGAGTGTCTGAGTAGTATAAAGCATGTTGTCGGTGTAAGATCAGTATTTCTGGCAAAGAGATTGCACGCCGTATAGCAGTTAAAATCACACCGAATTGCCGCCTCAGCGAGAAATGGCGAATAATCAATCTGTTAGACGACATCTGGATGCTTTTACCCGAGGTCGAATCATTGGGAAGTTGGAGGAAGGCCGCAGTGTGACAAGTGTGGCTGCAGAGTTCGGAATTGCTCACAGCATCGTTTCACGACTTTGGAGACAATTTCAAACTACAGGAACAGCTATCCAGGGGTTTAGTAGTGGTCGTCCACGAGGAACCACACTCGCAGATGACCGGTATATTGCCTTACAGGCCAGAAGAAACAGGCGGCAGACAGCTTGAGAAATCGCTAGACACACGACACAGGCGACTGGACGACCGATATCGCGTTTTACCGTGGTTAGAAGACTGCACGGTGGTGGTCTGTTTGCACGACGCCCTGTACGGTGTGTACCTCTAACGCCTGCCCATCGGAGAAGGTGTTCTCTGTGGTGCCGGGAACACCGGAATTGAAGAGACAATGAATGGGGACGAGTACTCTTTACAGATGAGAGCAGATTCAGTCTGAGTAGCGATTCTCATCGCATACTCATCTGGAGAGAGCGGGGAAGCCGCAATCATCCCTCGAACATCATTGAAAGGGACAGGTATGGAGGTGGCAGTGTTCTCGTTTGGGGAGGCATCATGCTTGGTAGTCGTACAAACCTTCACATCTTCGACGCAGGTTCAGTCAACGGGACCCGTTATTGTAACGAGATTCTTCTTCCATATGGGCGTCTTTTTAGAGGTGCTATGGGTCCGCAGTTCCTTTTCATGGACGACAATGCACCATGTCATCGCACAGTAGCTGCCGAACAGCTCTTAGAAGGTGAGGATATTGAACGTATGGATTGGCCGGCACGATCTCCGGATCTCAATCCCATCGAGCATGTATGGGATTTTCTAGTAGACGCTTGGCAGCTCGTACCTTACCACCAGTAACGATTCCGGAGCTTCGATTGGCGCTGCAAGACGAATGGGCAGCAATGCCTCAACAACTCATTGACACCCTCATTCTCAACATAGGCAGACGCTGTGAAACCTGCCTAGCAGTCAGGGGAGATCATATCCCCTATTAAAGACCGGATGTTTCTTGCTGGACACCCATCACAGGGATGTTTCGGCCTTCAGTCCCATTGCGCTCCATGCTATTTTTTCAATAAGGCTTCTTTTTATCCCTCTGATTTCTCTTTTAGTAAGTGTTGCTTACATTACTCATGTCCTGACGTATTGGGGATCTTACGGTATTAAATGTGTTGATTTAGAAAGCTTTTGTACAAAGTTATATTGAAAAAACCGTCTCGTCCTTAATTTTTGCACACCAGTGTATAATAGTGACTGACTTAGAGGACAAACAGTTTCTTCTTTATTATACATACGTATGAGTACTTTCGTGTCTTAACTTACTTTAACTCAGGGAAGTAATTAGGCTTTCATTGATCAAAAAAGAATGTTGTCTAAACTTCTGGGTAAATAAGAATTTTGTTCCAGTTAAACTAATTGCGATAGATGAGTTGGGAATTATCTCCAATAGTTCAACGTCCCGGATTTATTTTCAAACACCTGTCGACTGCGATTATAAATAAATTATCGCGCGTTTGTATGACCTGCGAGCAACAAAATTTTTAAGTAATACTGAGTTTTACATAATGAGTAGAAGTTTTGTTTCTATTAAATTTCCGCTTGCTTAATAACATATCAAGTACAAGTAAACTAATCGTCCATAGAATTAATTTAGCAAAAGTTAGATCTTACAATTGAATTAACTAGTATATGAAATATCTCCAGTTTCTTTTAACTTGAAAATCAAAGCCATGAATTTTATTTTAACATTCATGAAGTGCTAAATATATTTTCAGGATGTCCGTTATGTTCTAAGTAAATATTATTGATATTTATTCATTTAACTGGGAGCTAAATATTGAGAGAGGTTTAAGTGTTAAATGCCTCTTGGTTATTTCTTATAACATCCATTATTAAAAATCAAATAAAATGGAATTATCTAATTTCTATCTCTTAAGTAACTCTGAGTGTCAGAAAACCGTTAAAGAATTAAAAATAAATTTAAATTCATTTTTAACATCTAACATACTGTATAGATGTATTGTTTGCTCTAGATTTAAATGGGATATTTGTGTTATATATTGTCTCGACGTGGAAAAGAATAAATATATTAAATTTTTATTGTTCATTTTCTTTTTGCTGTATGCTTTTATTTTTTGTTTTCTACGTAAGTTCTAAGTGAGTTTCATATCTGTTAAGTTAAAGGCATTTATTTGTATAATATCTATATTCTGATATTTAGATAAGCAATTCTATAATCCACTTTATTTGTCTTCTAGAGAATGAAAAATGCTCTTATCAACAAAGAAAATACCAACGTCTTTGTCGTTGATTGGTCAAATGGAGCTTCTCCATCCTGGTATTACGGAGTTCATACTTATGAAAAGGCTGTTGCTAATACTCGAATGGTTGGAGCTGACATTGGATATTTCATCCAACAACTGATGGTATGAATGTTTTTAGTTATAAATAAATTTAAAATCTTCAAAAGAATTTAAAATATTTAATAATCAACATTTTAACATCTGATATTAAATTGAGCGTAAGCTTTTAGAATTAATCATCTCGAATTCCTTAAAGCTCTAAAGTAGAAATCAAGCAACTATTACCATTTTGAACTGGTTGCATTCCATATATTTATTTTTGTAAGTATTATTCATATTTTTTTCAGTTTTATAAGTTATTTTTCTGTCTATATCATTCAAGTTTTAGCATATACGTAAATGCAACAGATATACAAATATATACATATAGTCTTTTACCTCAGTCCAATAAAATTTTACTAAAATTGCATTCTGAAACTTTTACATAAATGTAAAACCATTATGCATATTCATTATTCTATGCATAGTAATTATTTCATTCAACATTGTCATTATTTATTTATTTACTCTTATTCATGTTATTATTCATATGTTTCTACGCGTACATCTATTTGCCTATCCAAATGTACATATACACTAGAATTTAAAACAAAAAATGTTACATCAACCTTATCATTATATTACAAACTAATCACTATAATTAGATACACCAACTTAATCATAATAATTATTTCATTCAAAATCGTCATATTTTATTTATTTACTCTTACTCATGTTGTTATTCATATTTATTCGAAACTTTTGGTAAATCATTTTCACACGGATAAGCTCTTGAACAGCGTTTAGATTATGTTAGTTAGTATACTTTGTTAATAAAGGGGACTGGAATGCAACTATACTGATTGGCTTTGAAGCAGAGAATATTAGTGGATAGATGCAGGATTTCTCAACATTTTTTTATTCATGCACCTCTTTCACACTTTTTGTAGCTTTTTTATATTAATAAAGTAAAACTAAATACTTAACAGCGAAATACAGGCTGATTGCATCCCCCTGAAACTATGAAACTTCTTCCAGGGCTAGTTTCCTCCTGGTGAAAACCCAGATATAGAAGTCTGTTGTTTATTTTGAAGCCATTAGTTTAAAAACATCAGAAAACTCAGTTGCTATGCAATGTAATTTCTTATCAAACTCTTTTTCCTGAAATTCGTTACAATTTCAAATGATATTTAAGACTAAATTGAAATTTTAACTTACATAAAACCGTACTTTAAAGAGAAAACGAAAGATTAAAACAGTAGCGAAAACTGTAGAAGCACCATTGGTATGACGTGCTACAGGCTGTGAACCTTTAAATCATTCTTTTTTAACTAAACCTTATTTTTTATATCGAATACTTTTGGCACATAAAAAAATCAAGTTATCATCCTGATAATTTAGTGTTATTAAGTTTTTAAAGCATTATTTCTAGTTTTGCTTTCAGAAATAAATACTAATGGTTATTCAAAAATAAAATGTTTTGAATTAACCAACCTTTCCATTGTTCAAATAAATTAAGTTCCGCAGAAATATGATAAAAGAGAACGAAAACGTTCCTAAAATTTCATTTACACTTTTAAATGTATAACCAACAGAAATACGTATAAATACGTATTAAATGTATAACCAACAGAAATACGTATAAAATTTCATTTACACTTTTAAATGTATAACCAACAGAAATACGTATAACTTAACAACAGAAATACGTATAAAATAAAGTATAACCTTTAAAAATATAACTGATTTAAATTAAATTTCAGGACGCAACAAAAATCGATCCTAAATTGATTCATCTTGTTGGCCACAGTCTTGGTGCTCATACCGCAGGATATGCTGGTGAATGGGTTTTGCGCAATACAACAAAGTTAATTGGAAGAATATCAGGTAACATATAATTAAAGTTCATAATATATTTGTTTATATTAAAAACCTTTTCTTATCAGCTCTCAGTCTGATACATAATGATTTCGGGAAATTTTAGTGTCAGCAAGTATTCTTTCGTTATCAGCAAAATTAATGTTTTGATTCAAGTGTCTTGATTCAAGTGTCGCATACATGTCAAGCGACTTTTGACTTCAAATATACTGTCCAAATGTCATGGCAAAAATGCTTCGTGGCTTCTTTAACTGGTAAAATTAGAATGAACGTAATATATAATTTTATAGTAATATAGTACGCTTATAGAACTTAGTTCTATCATTCGAGAAGAAGACAAAATAAATTTTCTTATGGTTCCATACTTTTTTCTCTAAACTTTATTTTTCATCCAAAACGTTGAAATTAATTTTAGAGATGTTTATTTCGTATCAAAATATATTTTCAGATTTTAACATTTCAAATGAATAACTCTGATAGAACCGTAATATTTTTTGTGGCGAACTTTAGTAGCTCTTCTTTGCGTTAACCCCGCGACTGATCGATTCGCTGTGTTTAGTTTTTATTGTATGAAAGTTCAGAATTTTTAACTGAACGTTTTCTACACATAACAGTCATTCAATCTCTACATTTAGTGAGATACATTTTAATAAAAAATTCTCTCTGGACATTTAACATGAAACAAAAATAACGTTTAACTAATACAGGGCTATCAATAAGAACAGCTTCATTTTGCGAAAATGAATTTTGTCGAAAGTATAAAATTACAATCTTGAAACAGAACTCTGTGGGATTCAGGTAAGTGTTCTATAGTACATCCCCTTTGCAAACACATACAACATATGCCATTTTCATGTCCTGAACAGCTTCTAATTCCTTAAGTCCTGGACTTTTTTAATTTCACAAATAGTAAAATACGTGGTGACTAAAATCTATGTTTCGCCTCTAAAATTGCTCGGTATATATTTAAATGGGAACTTAAATTTCATTTTGTAACCATGCTTATCATACATTACATAAAAAGAAATATGTAATTAAGAAACACATATTACTTAATTATGCAATTTCGTTTACGGCGAAAAAATTAATTAAAAAAAGTTGAATGCAGTTTACTGAAACTTAAAAAAGAATATATCAGTAACATAAAAATAAAAGGCGTCTGACAGACCATGAAATTCGAAATTTTTAAATGTTTCATTTCATTCATGTGTCAGTAGACGTGGGTAATGACTGATGCACCTGTAAGTGCCAAAGCTTTCATTAGTCAAATTCAGCTCTTCAGTCTGAAGATGTGATCTCAATATTAAGTGGCATAGCGAGTGATAGTTTTTAAAAAATAAACAGAAATCGTTAGTGCTGTGAAATGAGATTTAGTATTGCACAAAAGTTAAGAATTTTTAATTGAACAATTTCTACGTATAAAACATTTGCGGTAAGTCTGGGTTTCATTATGAAAAGTACTTTTAAAACTGTACGAATTTTGATAAGTGATATGGCATACATCTTTTATCTTCAAAGTAAAAAAGAACTTGCGTGGAGCGTTTTGATACCTTGTAACTCTGTTGTGCTGTTCTATATAGGATAATAAAACAAAAAGCAGCATTAATGCAGAGTAAATAAAAAAGATAGAAACTTTAATGATAATCTGAAATAGATACTCTTTCTTCAGAAGCAAGAAACAATGCATTATGTGGTTTCTCGTTTTGTAGCTGCGCTTTTCTAAACTGCAGAATTAAGCTAAGAGGCAATGCTAGAATGCATAAATTGGGATGAACAAAATACTGGGCGAATTTCAAGGGATCTAGTATAGAACCTTTTTCTTCAGGAGCAACACAAATTGAAAGCAATCGAATTCTACCTGTGTTTTTACCTTTTTATACGATGGTGCAGGGTATGATACGAGGTAAAACTATACTAGATGCATTAAAACTCTTATTTTGTTGTGCAATATTGCGGAGTTTACAACCTTCTCTCCTGGCATTCGCGCAAAGTACTAAAGCATCAATACAAGAGATTTCAGTGACCCTCTTACGATGTAAGAGTTCAATGTATGACTCTCGTAGATTCCTTCAAACTTTACTTCATTTCTTTCAAAATTTGTGCTAAAAACATAAAAACTGTTATACAACTCAAATACCTTGGGTCACAAGAGATCATCATCTAAACTGACAACCACATATTAGATACTTTAAAGAAAAAAATTATAATTTGGTTTACAGTGTGTATGGAACCACAGCAGCATATTGGGTGTTATCCTTGATGCTCATGGTTTGATATCAGAAAGTATCAGAGAAAATAGAATTACGTGAAGCCTCAATGTATAGAACAAACATCTCATATGGAGAGTCATCTTAAATCCGTGAAACAGTCATTCCTCAGCCGTGCGTCCTGCTGAGGTACCACACTTCCCCTTCCAGTGCTCTGAATACCCATGCGGGTATTCCTTCTCAGCATTCTGCGGTCCAGACAGAATACATGTGCACTCTTATATTAAAAGTGAAGTTTACGCTATGAAATAATGAATTTATTCCTTACAGATAATAAATAAAGTATTTCTTTGCCCCTTACAAACATTATACCGCTGTTATATTTTAACCGGCTAAATTTGATATTATAACAGAATAACCAGCACCTGCTACATTAAAGGTCATCTAGTCCGATGGATCCAAAGGTGAGGTAGGAATAGGAAGTATATAATACATCCTGAATGGCAAAAACATAGTAAGCACGTGAACTGAAAACTGAACCATAATAACTCTTTAGCTGCCTTGAAAGCAGTACTACGCTTCTGCAACTCTAATGGTTCAACTCTCTTCAACATTTATATTTAATCTGGATCAAACCTGAAAGTAATTCAAAGAAATTGATGGAGAAATTCAATCGTTAGACTTACTCAAAAACTTTTCTTCTCTTTGAACCAAACCCTGAGACCGCAGCTGCTTTGGATACCGGCACATACCGGAATTTTGGGCCATGGCATAGCTGACCAGATTGCCAAATTAATGGCTACAGGCATTAATTTTAGCATCCTTAGTATAAAATTTCCAGCTTCTCATCTAAAATTTTCCCACGTCAAATTCTTTAATTGGTAGATCAGAGTGTCATTTCATTCTGAAAGTAAGTGAAGTTCTGAAAAGTGTCATCCCAGATATTCGCACTCGACCATCTATGAGCTATATTAATCGGTTTGGTTTCCTGAAAGTGATCTTTGCCTATGTGACGAGATTGGAGACCCCGATCAATAATGCACCTTTGCGTGCCCATTTAACACCCACTATCATTTCCTGGGGCCGATACCTGAGAGTTGTCGTGAATGATCAGCTAATACCTGAAAAACAGGCGTAAAGTATTCTATATTAAGACGTATACTTCCCTTGCTGTCATTGTCACAAGTAGGCAAAATTTATAAGTTAATATCAGCAGCCACACTGTAATATTTTGTAACTACTGAAGCCCCATGCAACACCCTCAGCTGTATCAATCTACGTACATTCTTAATTTAACTTTCTAAATTTTTCTTGCCTGATGTGTGATGCTTAATGATTTTGCTCATTTCAAATAAAGATGAGCTGTACTTGAACCTATAACCTACCTTTAATACTGATTTATGCCCTTCCAATGTACAATACAGTATTCGCAGTTTCCTCATCATGTAATTTTTCTGATTTTTACTGTCCTGCTTTCAGTATTCCACCTTTACATTCTAAATAACTCTAATTAATTTATTTTACTAATAATTTAATTATTTTTGTTCAATCGACGGTATTCAGCAGGCTATTGAGAGTCTAACGCAGTGAAACACCTGATCTGACAATGGCATAAAGGAAAAATAATCTGATTCTTTTACGGTAAAAACATATCAATTAAAATTTTAAGCTTCTTTTTGGCTCTTCTCTATAGATACATATTTTGAAACAATACGCTTCTAGCTCACACTTTGAAGATAATCATTCGATTCTCGACAGACATAACGCATCTGTCATATAAAGACAAAAATGTTTTCACAGTTAATTATCAATTATTTGCTTGAAATCTTTAAAATTTAGTGAGCTAGTTGATGATTAGTAAGAAATTATTCTGCAGTTTACAATGTAATTGCTTTTTAACTCATAGTACGTTCAAATCATAATTTAACTCAAATTAATTTATGCTAAATTACGCTTTAAGTTGTTTTATAACATCAAATAAAAAAATATACCAATATATTCGAAATAGAAATTTATAAATGTGTTTAATGAAAAAAAATTAAAATTAAATTCAAAATTACTTTATTTATTTTCATAAAATTTAGGTATTCCTTTTTATTTTATTTCGATGAAAACTTGAAATGTGTGCCTCAAGCATTTGTTATGTTATAATAGGTATATAACATTCTTTTAATTTTAAAAAGTTCAAAGCAGCAAACAGTATCCTATTTTTCAGGTCTTGATCCAGCTGGTCCATTGTTCAATGGCGTTCATCCACTTGTCAGATTAGGTAGAGAAGATGCAGAATTTGTGGACGTCATCCATACGAACTACGCACCAAATCGTTTTGAAGGTATTCGTAGATGTATTTCACATAAAACCTTTAAGTTCTATTTTAGTCTTTTTTAAGAAGCGATGATTGAATGTGAGAAATTTATTTTAGACCTTATTATCATTTCAGAAGCAATTAACTTCACTATGTAAATATTAAAACAATATACCAATACATGAATAATGAATGTAGAATTTCAATAACTAATGATACTTAAAACTCCTCAAAATTTATCTATCCATCATGTATAAGTACATCTCTCTCTCTCCCTCTGTATACATACATACAGATATCATCCATATATATATATGTAGACAAAATAGTAAAAAATTTAGAACCTAATTCAAAAATACATGAAAGAAATAAAATAAAAACCAGCAAAATATCAAAATTTCCCCATAGGGAATTTAAAATGGGTCATCAGCTAATATTGAGTGCACAGAAACACAATGGATTTCCTCGAGGAAGGGATTCAATTGAATCTGATCTACCTAACCTTGATAACTTTGGATCAGATTATGATTGTATTCCTTTTATTATTTTTAGCTGTTTTCTAAAATTCTTCTGCTTTGAAAATAAGTAGTTGATCTAATTTTATTATGAAATTTACTCGTTTTGATTTTATTTCTTTCATGTCCTTGTGAATGATATTCTAAATTTCTTACTTTTTTATCTATAATTCGTTAAATTTTCAGCAGCATATTGCATAGAAATAATATTGGGTTATTGTTTTTTTTTTAAAAATGTGATACTCTAGTATATATGTGCACATATATACTACTATATGTGATTAAAACAAAGTCATAGGTAACCGAAGAGGAGGAGGAATTTGAATGGCATAGTTGTATTGATCTATAATGACTAGGAAAATGGAGGCGAAGGCAACTTAAGTCTTCATTTTTATTTCAGCAAATTTGTGGCCGCAAACAAGTTGGCACATTAATTGTGCCTATTCGAAAAATTTACATTTTTGATAACTTTGTAGCAAGAAAGCAGCAGGATAAAGACAGCAGTGTACCTAGGTCAAAGCGTGGAAAATAAGTGCACAATGTTCAGGATAAAATCTTAAGTCAAACTTAGTTAGTTTTGGTTCTCAAAGCATTTTGATTGGGTAGTTAATATTGCTGTAAAATTATTAGTGGCTGCTTGAGTTTTAGTTCAGTTTACATCACCAGAATTACGTAAGAGTCACATGACATAGATTTTTCTCGAAATGAAGCAGTGCAAATAGAAGTTTCTATTTTTAGAATAGAGAAGGGAAATTAATTTACGCTGCTAATTTAATCTTTTACATATTATTTATATTCTTACACATATATATATATATATATATGCCATAGGCTTCCAAAAGTTAAGCCACAATGCAAATTAGAAATTTTCAAAAGAGTATTTCAATTTCTGTGGCTGAAAATCCTTTCGGATATAGATTACAATATGTTATTTCGTATGTTAACATGCAATTCCGATTGATTGTAGGAAAATATGTTAGATAGGAATTCGTTAAGATCCAGCATTCTGAAAAGGTTTAGGAGATACGAAAATGCTGATACGAAATATTTATAACATTAGTAGGGTAATTTTTGATGGCGTTCGTATTTCCGTGGCTGGAAGAAGAGGAATAGCAGATTGTGAGCGCTAAGGCAAGACAGTCAATTTAAAATGTCGATGTTTTCTTTTGCGTTTGATCATTCTGTAATTTCTGAGAAGTAAAAACGATTCTAAACATGTCGAAGTGTTTTCGGCAAATTTGTGTCTGTCAACAAAGTATCTCTTCTAAACCATTTCCATATAGCCAACTTCGTTAACGAATATCTAAATGTATCCTAAATGTAACGAGTATGATAGTATGTTTCATATGGTGTAGCCACCGCATTTCTTCAGCTTTAATTCCATTGAAAATCTAAAGGTTGCCCTCAAATATGCAGTCTCTGCACGTTTTTTCATCCAGCTAGTTTCAGACATTTGGAAACAGCCATAAAGAAGGAATGCCATTGCTTGTATGAATGTGTTGGCCGATCAATTGACTGAAAGTGTGGACAGTCGCTATAGAATTTGTGTGAAGTTCCATGATTAATTTCATATATTTAATTAATGTAGGTTTCGTTTGTTTAAACATCAAGTTGGTCAATGACCTAAATATGACCTAATCATAAAATTCGCAAAATTAAATACACACACACACACACACATATATATATATATATGAGACTTACTAAACATTTTTAGATTATTAAGTTGGATTATTCTATTAGTGAAATTACGTTTATAATCTCAATTATTATCGTTTGACGAAACGCGCTGTAGGTATTAACTTGATTCGTGTCTTGAGCTGCTTGGTTTATCCGTCTCAAACATTGTGTTGAGCTATATACCATTTATTGCAATTTTTTGTACATATTTACTGTGTCTTTGAAATGTATTTACTTTTACAAGATTTCTTTTTAAAATTGTTTGTGCGTTAAAATTTCTTAATTTTTTCTCACCCATTTTGATTTTGAAGTCATTTCGACTTGTAATTTTACATTTAGTTTTTACGAGATAGCTTTTACTACTTTAATATTGTTTTTAGTTGTTGCATGAATTTGCATTTTTGCTAAGGAACTATACTGTCAATACTTTTTAGCATTAGCTTTTTAACATTCCTCTTATAAAATTTTTAAAAATTTTGCAGCTTAATGCGGAAAATTCTTGACCAATAAGGTCTTTCTAATTCATGTTGTCTTGCTGGTTTCGTATATATATATATATATATATATATATATATATACATACATACAAATATACTATATATACATATATATGTATATATGTATGTATATGTAATTGGTATATTAAATGAAAGTTTCAGCAGAAAGAATACTGTGCAATACATAGAAGATTTATTTGAATGTAATATATAATTGAAAGGGAATAAAAAATTACTGCTTTTGGTGTAACATAGAAGATTATATGTTGAAAGAAAACATGCTATAATAATGTCTAAAACGTATCCTAAATTATTAAAATGTATAATATTTATTTTCAGGCGCACAAAATGAAATTTTCGAAAGTAATTTTTTCAATGAAATTTAAATAAGGTTTTCTTTCTTTTCTTTCAACTTCAAGCATAAGACGTAGTTAATTTTGAAATGACATTTCAGTTTGAAGTTTTATATTTACTAATACTTAACTCAAATTTTATAATTATTTCAAATAATATATTTCATTGCATTTTGGAAAGGATGCAGTTTTTGTTCTCTTGTAGTAAATAGTTACGACTTAGGGAATAAGATCAAATATTTGTCTGTAAAAATCTATAGACACTTTTCATGTATAATAAACAGAAACTAGAATTTTTTCAAGTTTTCTGATAAAATTTAATTTGTGTAACCTTATTGACTTGAGAAAAATTAAGAAGACTGCATCAAATTTTAGCTTGAAAATTTTTTTTTTTTTTTTTTTTTTTTTTTTAAGGTTACGGAATTAAAGAAACCGTAGGTCATTTCGATTTTTACCCTAATGGCGGAGAAGATCAAGCTGGTTGCATAACAGCGAGCGAAGCGTATCTTCAAGTCTTCTCCTCATGTAAGTAAATTTCTTAACATTGATGAAAAATTTGCATGTAAGCATTAGAAAATCACAATTTCAGCTGTATTCTGTCTTTTAAAATAGTTCTATTTACATCTTCCTAATTACTAAATTACTTCCTTGAGCAGGTCTCTTTTTAAAGTAATATACTAAAGACGTCAAAAAGTTATGTATCTGAGAATTAAAATACAACTTTGGAGAGAAAATTACTTAATTATGTTTTAGTATCATCTCCAATCATAGCAACACATTTTGTCCATTTTGATTCGAACGAGCGGATTTTCTCGGAATAAAAGACGCCATCATACAAGTATTTATCGAAATCGAATCTATCAAAATGAAAATTAGTCTTTAAGGATTACTAATTACTTTTCTTTAAATCTTGGTACAAACAGACTTTCCATGAGAACGCAGAATTAATAATGGAATACGTGGAATATGATTTGACAATTGTTGCAACTGTGGAGCAATCTAAGCAATAAGCAAAACCAGAAATGAAATTTTTTCATAAAAGCAAACATGAACTCAAAACTTATTACATAAGCTTTTAGTGGACATCAACGAGTTCAATTCGCATTCCAGTTACACACCATGGGAAAAGGCAAACAAACGCAGCTCGTATTACGTATCTTGGAAAAATGAATTGTTTAATCTCACAGCCTCCAAAGGATTTATGTGTAAAATATCAATACATTTACTAGCATAGTTAAAAAATGGTTTGGTTTATTCGATCATGGCAAATCAGACGAGGGCTATCTGACTAAAGGAAGGGATCCCTTCGTGGACCCTCCCTTTATCCACCTTTTTGAATCACGGGATGTGTCTTAACTTTTCTTTGCTCTCAGCTTTTTGTTAGAGCTTCAGAGAATGAATCTGATGTTGAAGAGTTTCATTCAAAAAGCACGAAATTCCTTTTCTTGGGCGGATAAAAAGGAATTTCGTGCCACCGGTTGAGAAACGCGACGTTACTTTTGTACATGTACGTATTACCAGACAAAATCCTTAATACGAATCTCTAGTCTTGTGGACTAACTCTCTCGTCACCGGATGTAGCAAGACAGCATTGCCAGTCTCGCATATTCTATAATCCAGTCCCATGGGTTATTGAAATGCTCGAGATTCAGCAAAGTCTGGATGTAACTGATCGCATAGCTTTGCTGTATCAGATCCTTTAATAAAACAGAAAATGCATATTATTATACAATCTTGCAAACTATTCCAGATAATGTCTGTCTACAGTATAGGCAAAGGCGCTAACCTTAGTTGCTATTGTCGCTAGTAGTATTTAAACTGGAAGTCGAAACGTGTGAAGCCTTTAGCTGTTACCTTTATTGTCAAATCATATCTTCAAATTTGACGATTCGTTATTTGATACGCTATACATATTTTCTTGCCTTGTAATACAGATGTATAGGATTATCAGTATCTCGTTTAAATGAGAATAAGTAAGTCCGTTGAATAATAAGAGCCCCCTTTTATTGAAAGTTAAGATATTCAGATCTTGTGCTCTAAGTCTCTTGACTATTAGATCAAACGGTACACACACACACACACACAAAAAAAAAAAAAAAAAAAAAAAAATTCTGAAATGTTTCAGATTTTAAATTACGTGCAAAGGGGCGTTTTTTAACATTTTGTGTGTTACCTTTCTTTATTAAATATCATGTTCCTCGCACTTAAACCATAAGATCCAGTGCAACAGCAATATCGCAAAATAGTTTTAAAACGAGCATATCTTTAGAATTTCCGATACAGAGACTCACGCGCTGGAGATAAAAATGTTTTTTCTGCACAACGTTGCCATTGCTCGCTTTGAAATCCTTGAGTTTGTTAATCAAAAATTCGTCAAAGTTTTAAAAAATAGGAAATCGATCATAAAACAAATTTCAAATTTCAAATTTGGTCTTCCACATGCTCATATTCGTTGGAGGATTACGTTATTCAAAATTCGATGACTCTATGTAACCGTTGTTTTTATCACAATACGAGAAAATATACATACATTTATGCAGATTTTTTTCATTATTTAATTTCTTACAAATATAATGCAGGATTCTAACATTTTGTGGCAACAGTTTGAAAAGTGAACCGACATTTATGAGTCCGACGCAAAATGCCAAAACGAAACTAATAGTCCTTCGGGATTCAAATCCCTTTGGACTAAAAACACTCTTCATTTATTGCTGTGCTATAAATTTTAATCTCTATTAATCTCAGAGGTATTCGGATCATATTAAGTAATATTTATTGCTTTTGATAGATTTATTTAAGGATTGGCGTGCCCTCTGATTTTGATGGATTTGAGAATAAAACTTATCATATTGCTGTTGTTTCGTTTTTTTCGCTGTTTCGACTTTGTTATTAAAGTTATTTTAATTAAAAATATTTGTTTTATAGTATACACTTCGAATCATAACTTAGAAGAAAAATTTGGCACAGCTATAAATATGTAAAATTACTACTTGGAATACATGATGGTATTAATTTTAATTATTGAATATGTATTTTATAAGTTATAATACGCATGTTTTAAATTTTATGAAGTGTAGCATTATCTTTATGATTCAGAAGTATTTGGAATAATATTTGATGATAAGGTTTCTTTCCGAGCTGGTTGAATACTCGCAAAATTCCGAAGGAGTACGTATCCAGTTCAATGCTTTGTTTGATTCAACAGACATCTCAAATCATCTCTTAAATAGTATGCAAAATGTTTCTTCCTAAACCTATGTTTTTATTTTAATAATCATCTGACAATTTATGCAAGGCATACTATAATAGCAAGAAAAATAAAACACAGTTTAAAATTGCTCGAATCTACAGTATGATGCACACTTAAAGAATAAAACTTTATATGATTTGTTTTCGTAATTTTTATAATTTTTTATATATTTTGTATATATTTATATAACACAAAATAATATATTAATATATATATTTGTTTATATATACTTTGTATTGACTTCTAATTTTTAAATTTATTATAGTGTCATCTGATCCTCTGACATGCAGCCATTCGAGAGCCTATGAATTGTTTACTGCCAGCATAGAAGAGCCAGAGTGCAAATTCAAGTCAGTGCAGTGTGAAAATTTGGATCAAGTAGCGAGTGATACATGTGGTACATGCGAAGAGAACTGCGTTAGTATGGGTTATTACTCAGTCAATTCCAAGGCTCTTGCTCAAAAAGACAGTTCCATCATATTTTATCTTAAGACAACTGACAAAGATCCATACTGTTTGGAGAAGCAAAAGAAATAGATGTACATTTCAAATGTAAACAAAAATCAATAAAATAGCCAAATTTAATGATAAAATGCAAGCATTCAGACTAGCCTAAATGTTTACATTGGTATCGTGTATTCCGCAATTGGAAATTAGTGGACTATGTTATGCAGACTTGCTGTTTTAAACCATCAGTTAGTAGAACTCAAATAAATCTTAAACAATTAACTTTGACATAATTTATTTCTTTCTTTCTTACAAACATCATGTAATCTTAAGAACGGCGGTTCGCCAAAGACGGTGAAAACTCAAATTCCACCTTGCTTCATGAGGTTACGTTAATTTATTAAGGTAAAGCAGCTCGAGGGCTATCGACCTGGCAAGGAATGCCTTCGTGGAGGAACTTTTAAGGATGAATCGTATACATGTTATAGATGTGGAAAACCACGAAAACAACCATGCAGCCTGCCAGTTCCCCGAGATTCGATTACAAGTTCAACTACCAATGTTAGCGACTTTAACGTTAAGTCGCTGGTGGGCCCTTAGTCCATAAGAGTACACCTTATTAGAATATCAAAGCCGGTTGGAATTCCAACAGCTAGTAAGTTAAGCTCCAAACGTTTGCCAAAAAACCTAGCTTATTTTCATCTGCTCCGCTCCTCAACTTAGCGACTGAAATACAGTTTGCATAACATCAAATATATCCCCAGACTGAAAGCCTCAGGGGGGGGGTTAAAGAGTAAACTATTAATAATCAGAACTAAATACATATAACTAAAAATAATCAATTAAAATCTATAATGATTTAAATGGTAAAGAACATAGCTTCGCTCTTGGTCGCTTCATTTTTACCATTTGGATTGCCTAATTCCGGTACTCGAACTTTTCATCTATGCCGTGGATATACTTATAATTCTACCAAATTTACAGCTCAGCGAAAGTAAATTCTATTATTAATGAGGCTGTAGGGTTTATATTTATTTTAACTAACATTTATTTTAAGTTTAAACTATCTTTCCTGTCAAGCCTTACTTTCCCCTGGAACTGCCAATGCCAGAATATGTAAATTTTAGTAGAACGCGCAAGGATTCAAATTATCAGCGGAAGTATTATGATTTTAAATAGAAAGGAAACAGTTCGGTGTGTGATATTCTTCTTACTTCACGAGCGCGGAGGTAGTTAGCGAGAAATTGAAGAACCCCGCGTTTCGGCCTATGTGCTTGGCGGGAAGTAGTGTTAATTGTTCAAGTGAGCTTCAAGTCTGCTGAATTAGCAGCGGTATTGTAAAACGCGGTGAGTTAGTTATTTTAGAGAGCCTTGTAGTTAGAGTCTTGTCTTTAGTTTCTTTTCAGGTTATTATTTTTATTAGACCGCCGAGTTGGCGCAGTCTGTGAGCGTCAAGAGCACGCAATTGTAATTTTTACGTTGAATAAAAAGGGACTTAAACCCTTCACAAGACTCTGTATTTTATCCAGTTTTCACAGTCACCTCTTGGTTGCGTGCAAGTTGGAGGCGCGCAACGTTACAAGGCTCATATCACGAACTTTCAGATATCGCTGCAACTTCATCACTTAGGTCTCTGCTACAACCTAGACAAATACTCACTACTCCATCCCTTCCAGAACAGATGGAACAGCCTGTACGAGTTCCTCTAACTACAAATATAGCTTAGCTTAAATTAGGTTACGAAAGCACTCAAAGCCACTCCTGTTGTAAAATGTCCTGGTGTTATAGCCTATAGGTCATTGCACTCACTTATTGCTGGTACCAATGGCTTAGGATTAAAACAAGATTCAATTTAGGTTATTAAAATGCCTTGTATGTTGGAATGAGTATTTCTTTAAGTGGTGTTTTATAGATTTAGTCCCAGCTTCCCAAAGTCCTCCAAAATGAGATGCAGAGGTGGATTAAATAGCCACATGAGATATATGGTGGTCTTGTCATTCATCCTCTTCCACAAAAAACGCTGTACTATGCGAAACATATGAAAGAAATCAATCTTCCAGTAACTGAGTTGCATTTTGTCCTTGAAATCTACGGCAGATAACGCATTAGTTTAAAAATTTTCTTGTGATGTCTTTAGCAGTCACAATCCAAAATCTATATCATATTACACAAATCAGTAGTTGAATACCTGCTTGAAGACACGTTTCATGATAATGCTCAATAATCAAATGCATAATATTATAATTCTTAGACAAAATTATAGGATGTTTCTGAGTATCCGGAATTGTTGCATTTTTGTGACTTCCGCTTATGATTATTCCTGCGGAATCTAAGAAAGGATTTAAAGATAAAAGCTTGCTCAACGTCTTCAAAAGTTGTTTAATTTTAAATAAAAAAATTCCTTCGAAAATTCAGATCTTTGTGCATTGCTAGCTCATTTATCTGTGCTTAAATCATATACCCCACGCTAATAATCTACAGAGTTTTAACCACGAAGAAAACTTAGAAAATACACAAGGCTTCTTCAAAACTAGAAACATTTGAAATGAAATTCTTTTTAAAGTGCTTAAGGATCTGAACCTCTGCACAGCTGTCTCGAGTCTCTAATTTTGGGATAGGGAAGACTGAAAGGGTAATTTCGCTGTATACTACTTTTTCTCTTGTAAATTTAGATTTGAGAGATCTTCCTCGCTTTTTCCGGTTTAATAAGAATACCAAATGCAGGCACGCCATCTAATTTTAAAACGTCAGACCGCATCTACTCCTTCTCCACTTGCATATTATTTACATGCATAATAGATTTAACCTTAGATGAAGTGTTCACATTACTCGAAATAACCCATCTTAAGAGATATCTAACGCCTAAGAGTGTATCAAATAAGTCCACTCATGTAGATTGTTGGTTCCCCCCCGCTGTATCTCATCATATTTAATAATATACGAGTTATCCAATGTAGAATGCAGCAGTGTTTTAATAATTCCTATAGATAGTATAGTATTGGAACTATCCAATAGTAAGCACGGGGTTATAAATGACATTTTGCTAAAATGCGGAAAGAAATTTATCTGCGCTGTTCCATTAGTCTACGTTCCCAAAAATCCTAGACATGTGATAAAAATATTGGCATTTCTTCTCGATAACACTGATCGCTTTACACACTGTTCTGCAATAAAACACATTTAACGGCCAGGATCAAGCAATGCTCTACACAAGTGGAGCATTACTTGATCCTGGCCATCTGATCCCAGATTCCGGGATGCTAGATTATCTGGAACAAGTAATGCTTTACACCATATGAATTCAACATTTTAATAACAGAAGTATAATAATCACTCATGCTGAAAATTAAAATCTGATACGCAAAATTTGTACATAATAATCAAACATGCTTAAAATTAAAGTTTGATAAACAAGATTTAATTACCGGTCTAGAGCTCACGATATTCTCCCATAATTTAGCCACTTGAGTAATTGATTCCGTTCCAAGAAAACATTGCGAAGTCGAACTGTTCCCAACACTTTTACTCGATGTTAACTATTTCTGAATTTTCGAATTGCAGTAATGTAAGAGGACTTTTAAATCACTTTTTACATTTTGGATACTTCTACACTCCAAAGCTCTATAATTTGAAGTTAAGTAGTTAAAGCGCAGTTTGTTTTTCTTCACAAAATCAACACGATCATGATGGAATTTACGAAACGTGTACTGTGTGTGAATCTCTGAAGTTAACGAGGTAAATGTATCTCTCGCATTTTGTTTTTTTAACATCTTTTTGTTTACCAGCTTGCAGAGTTCTTGAGTGAGATTTTAAGAATTTCATCAGGTCATTAAGGCTCTACATGTTCTTTCCTACCACTCTCTCATAGACGAATCTTTTTTAAATCGTATTATTCACATAAAAATATTATTCGCGAATAGCTCTTCCTTGAAACCCGATGTCTTGAAGAACATACCCATTCTCTCACGGTAGCTTCGAAAGCGAATATTTGAGTGGGATTCTCAGTTTTTAAATTTGGTAAATATAAGAGTATGATTTATGATATGAGAGTAGTTCAAGAATGAAGATAGCATTTGTTTTTACGTGAAAATCTCTGATACAGTTAATTTGACACAATTTCAAAATTCCTATTTAAAGACTGAAAAATCCTTAGAGCTTCACCCTTTAAAGAACATTTTAAATATTGCACTTTTTGCGAGCCGAATAGTTTGTCATTATTCGTTATCATAGTTTTAAATAAATCACTAAATAATAATCGTTCTTCAGGACTACCACTAAATATATGAAGAGTTAACTTAAGTAAGTGCATGCTTTTTATTTTATAAGTTTTAGTATCCACACTAACATCTGTAACATTCTTAACATTATCTTTTAGCCTTAAAAATAACTCATCGTTAGTATCTAGCATGCATTGTTTGTTTTTCAATAAACGTCATCAATATCTTTATCTATTACAACTTACTTTTTTAAATTGTTGATAATTCTACAACTGTTGAATGCAGATTTCCTCAAGACATAAAACCCTTAACCAGAACATAAGAATTACGTAACTCAATCACTTTTATAGCAAGAGATACCTAAATTACCAACATATAATAAAAAACAGAGTTCACTGAGCTGGGTAATGGAGTAGATAAATGCATATATAAATAATGTGTGCTTGTGCCCTATATAAATAATGTGCCCTATATGACTTCATCAATATCTATCGCAACTTACTTTTTTAAACTCTTTATAATTCTACAAATGTGGCATGCAGATTTCCTAAAGCATCAAATTCTTAACCGGAACATAAGAGCAGAATAATGCAATCATATTTAAAGCAAAAAATACCCAATTTACCAATATATAAGAATAAAAAAGCAGAGCTCATTGAGCTGGGTAACAGAGTTGCTATACATATACACGTTTGGTGCGGCCGATGGCAACAAAAAGCGGAGGTGCATAGCCAGATGTTATAGAAGTCCCATATACAAAATTTCAAAGTTCTACGGCCAACCGTTTTTGAGTTTTGGAAGATACATATGTAAGTACATATAGCCGTCACAGAAAAACGCTATTCTGAATCCGTTTTGCAAACCATTTTGGAAAAGAGTGTCTTTTAGTCTGCTCGTATGCACAAATGTCATGCAAAAAAATCCTTCAAATAGATTTGAGAGTGGCCAAAACAGATACTATCGTTGAAATATGATACCCGAAATTTTTCTCGATTATAATACTTCCTTTACTTGTACAAGGAAGTAAAAATGAATTAATGTTGTAAGAGATCACTAGGTATTAACAACATA